GTATGAAAATCCATATTTCAAGATATGCTATAAAGCTGTACTAATCAAAATAGTATGATACTGGCACAGAAATAGGCACATAGATCAACAGAATAGAATAAAGAGCCCAGAAATAAACCCACACATTTATGGCAAATTATGAGAAAGAAGCCAAGAATAAACACTGGGGAAAGAACTGTCTCTTCAATAAATGGTGCTGGGAAAACTGGACCACTCTTAAATCATAAACAAAGTAAACTCAAAATGAAACCATAACACTCCTAGAAGAAAACATAAGCAGTAAACTCTTTGACATTGGCCTTAGCCATATTTTTCTTGATAGTTCCCCTCAGGCAATAGAAAAGCAAAAATAAACTATTAGGACTACACCAATATGGAAAACTTTTGCACAGTGAAAGAAACCATTGACAAAATGGAAAGAGAACTTATTGAATGGGAGAAGATATTTACAAATGCCATTTCTGATCCAGTGTCAGAACCTAAAATACATAAAATCTTACATAATTCAACACCAAAACCACAAATAATCCAATTTAAAAGGTGGGCAAAGAACCTGAAGAGATAATTTTTTTAAAGAAGACCTGAAGATGTCTAGCAGACACATGAAAATATGCTTACCATCACTAATCATCAGGGAAATGCAAATCAAAACCACAATGAGATTTTACCTTAGACTTGTCAGAATGACTAAAATCAAAATGACAAGAAATAACAAGTATTGGTGAGTATGTGGAGTAAAAGGAACATTCATATACTATTGGTAAGAATATGATTTGTGAACTGGTGGATAATAGTAGGAAGATTCCTCAAAATATTAAAAATAAGAAAACCATACAATCCAGTAATTCCACTATTGGATATTTACCCAAAGAATGAAAAAACATTAATTTGAGAACATATATGCACCCCTATGTATTTTTTGTCTGTTTTTCCCTATTTTACAACTTCTAAAAAATTTTTATTTGAATTCCCGTTAACATACAGTCTAATATTACTTTCAGATGTACAATTTAGTGATTCAACACTTACATATAACACTTGATACTCATCATAACCATCCACCACTTTGTTTAATGAAGCATCATTTAGAACAATCAAGAACTGGAAGCAGCCAGTGTCCATCAATAGATGAATGAATAAAGAAGATGTTATACACACACACACACACACACACACACACACACACACACACAGTGGAATATTACTCAGCCATAAAAAATGATATCTTGCCATTTGTGACAACATGGATGAACCTAGAGGGTATCAGGCTAAGTGAAATAGAGAAAGATAAATACCATGTGATTTCATGTGGAATCTAAACAAAATGAACAATAAAGTGAAATAATATCTGCATAATAGGGGTCCCAGGAAATGAAGGGAGAGAGACTGAATGTTTATTGAACAAATTATAGCAGAACAAATTATAGCAGAGAAAATTCCTAATCTGGTAGGTATTCAAGTCAAGAAGGCACAGAGAATTCCCCTCAAAGTCAATAAAAATAGGTCAACACTTCAACATATAATAGTGAGGTTTGCAAATTTCAGAGATAAAGAAAAAATCCTTAAAGCAGCTCCAAATATGAGGTCTTTAGACTACAAGGATAGAAATATAAGGCTGACAGCAGACCTGTCCAAAGAGAACTAGCAGGCCAAAAAGGACTGGTATGATATCTTCAATATGCTAAATGGGAAAAATATGCAGCAAGAATACTTTATCCAGGAAGGCTGTCATTCCAAATAAGAGAGAAAGAGTTTCCAGGACAAAACAAACAAACAAAACAAAACTAAACTAAACTAAAGGATTTCATGAACACTAAAGCAGCCCTCCAAGAAATATTAAAGATGATCCCTTGACAGTATGGAGATTCCTCAAAAAATTAAAAATAGAGCTACCCTATGACCCTGAAATTGCACTACTGGGTATTTACCCCAAAGATACAGATGTAGTAAAAGAAGGGCTATCTGTACCCCAATGTTCATAGCAGCAATGGCCACAGTCGCCAACTCTTGAAAGAGCCAAGATGTCCTTCAACAGAGGAATGGATAAAAAATATATGGTCCATATATACAATGGAATATTACGCAGCCATCAGAAAGAATGAATACCCAACTTTTGTATCAACATGGTTGGGACTGGAGGTTATGCTGAGTGAAATAAGTCAAGGAGAGAAAATCCATTATCATATGGTTTCACTTACTTGTGGAGCATAAGGAATAACCTGGAGGACAGTAGGAAAAAGAAAGGAAAAGTGAATTGGGGTAAACCAGAGGGGGAGATGAATCATGAGAGACTGTGGACTCTGAGAAACAAACTGAGGGTTTTGGGAGGGAGGGGATGGTGGGATGGGTGAGCCTGGTGGTGGGTATTAAGGAGGGCATATATTGCATGGAGCACTGGGTGTGGTGCATAAACAATGAATCTTGGACATTGAAAAATAAAATTAAGGAATAAAAAAATAAAAAAGATGATCCTTTGAGCAAAGAGAGAACTCAAAAGTAACAAAGATCAGAAAGAAAAACTCTACAGAAATAGTAACTTTATAGGTAATACAATGGCACTAAATTCATATTTTTCAATAATTACTCTGAATGTAAATTGATTAAATGCTCCAATCAAAAGACATAGTGTATCAAATTAGATGAAAAACATAAGACCCATCAATAAGCTATCTATAAGAGACTCATTTTAGACTCAAAGACACCTCCAGATTGAAAGTGTGGGGATGGAGAGCCATTTATCATGCTAATGGACATCAAAAGAAAGTGGGAGTAGTGACCCTTATATCAGAATACTAGTTTTTAAACAAAGGACTATAATAAGTGACTAAGAAGGACACTATAGCATAATAAAGGTTCTATCCAACAAGAAGGTCTAACAATTGTAAGTATTTATGCCCTTAAGTTGGGAGCTGCCAAATATATAAACCAATTAATAACAAAATTTAAAAAACTAATTGATAATAATGCAATAATAGTAGGGGACTTTAACACCTCACTCACAGCAATGGACAGATCATCTAAACTGAAGATTAGTGACACACGGACCAGATAGACTTCACAGATGTATTCAGACCATGTCAACCTAAAGCAACAGAATATACATGCTTCTCAAGTGCCCATGGAACATTCTCCAGAATAGATCACATACTCTGTCACAAATCAGCCATCAACAAGTATAAAAAGTCTGAGATCATACTATGAATATATTCAGACCACAGCACTTTGAAACGTGAAGTCAACTGCTAGAAAAAATTTGGAAACGCCACAAATAAATGGTGGTTAAATACATACAAAAGAGTGAATGGGTTAACCAGGAAATTAAAGAAGAAATTTTTAAAAATACATGGAAACAAATGAAAATGAAAACACAATAATCCAAAACCTTTAGGATGCAGTAAAGGTAGCCATAAGAGGTAAGTAAGTATATAACAATATAGGCCAACCTAAAGAAGCATGAGAAGTCTCAAGTATACAACCTAAACTCACACCTAAAGGAATTAGAAAAGGAACAGCAAACAAAGAAAAGAAAAGGAACAGGAAATAAAGCCTAAAGCCAGCAGAAGAAGGAAAATAATAAAGATAAAGGAGAAATAAACCATATAAGAACAACAAGAACAATAAATAGTAGTACAGATCAACAAAAGTAAAATCTGAAACAGGAAGAAATAGAAAATTTGAACAGATCCCAAACCAGCAAGGAAATTGAATCAGTAATCAAAAATCTCCCAACAAACTGGGATCCAGGGCCAGATATCTTCCCAGGGGAAGTGTACCAGCCATTTAAAGAAGACTTATTACCTGTTCTTCTTCTCCTCAAACTGTTCTAAAAAACAGAAATGAAAGGAAAACTTCCAAACTCATTCTATGAGAACATGTATTTATATTGTCAATATATTATATTTATTCATTTGCTCAATTCTGTAAGACACTGAAATTATTTTAGCTGATACTGTCAGAAAAACAAACAAAATATTTTATGATTTTATTTCTCTTACCCAAGACTGAGAATATATTACTGTATCATGAGTAACTAAATCAGTCCCTTTTTATTCCTTGAGTTGGTTCACTTCTTTTTTTTTAAATGTTATGTTAGTCACCATACAGTACTTCATTTCTTAAGTTGCTTCATTTTTTGTAAACTATTATTTTTGTTTAGTATAATTTGTTTTTGTAATATGTAGAAATATTAGCCTACTTCCAAAATAAAAATATTTAAGAGAGAGAGAGCATTTTTTCCTGAAGCCTACTCCTGCATTCCTCAGTTTATCCCTTCTGTTTTAAGTAAGTTGTTTTCTGGTTTATTATTATTATTATTATTATTATTTATTATTTATTATTATTATTCTGGTTTATTATTATTATTCATTTTGTAAAAGTAAATGTCTCTATATTTTTCTCTATTTTTCCCTTAATTCCCCTTCTTTGTCACCTCAAAGGTAATATACTAGATCTGCTTTTAAACTAACATCTGCTTTTTAACTTTTATTTTTCACTTAATATTCTCTCCTGGAAATTTTTGTCACTTTCTGGAGAATGTTTCCATTCATTTTACAGTTTTGTACAGCTGTTTGTGTCAATATACCATTGTTTATGTGATACCACAGTTTACAGTACATATCTTCAGTTACTTAAACAGTAATCTATGCTTGAACATTTAGGTAGTTTTGAATATTATGCAATTACAAGTGCTGCCGTAATAAGTAACCTTGTGCATATGTGTTTTATTGTTTCATCTACGTTTATGTATTATCCTAAGTATAAACATCCAAAAAAACTGGAACTAATTTAGGTAAATTTAATTTATATAAATGTTTATGAAATAATATTCATATGAAAACACTCATTAAAACTTTTCTCACTGTTTTCATATCTAGCATTGTATTTTTAGTTTTATCAAAAAGAGAGAAAATTCTGCTGTACACTTGTATAAATTTGAAGTTTAGGTATTTCATAATAGATTTTTTTTCTATTTAATGGGCTAAATGTATTTCTTTATGTAGTACCAGATGAAGAACTTATGATTGGGCATGAAGATTCAGTGTCAAAAACCGAAATGCAAGTAGAGGAACAAAAAACTTCTAGAAAGGGAAGATTCACTAGTAAGTATTTTTAAAAACTTTACATATTATTTTAGAGTTTTTTTTCCTTTGGCTCACAAAGATATAGCTAGGATATATTCTTTAGAAATTTTACATGTTAATTAAAGTGGGAATACCCTAAGATAAAGAACAAAAGAAAAATTATTGATACATTTTGTTTATAATTTCTGCTCATAAGACTATTTCATACCCATGAGTCATGTGCTCAGCATCCACCAAGAGCAATAGTAGGTCAGTAATGGTCTTACAAAGAGTGCGTACCTTTCAGTCAGCCCTGGGAAATTACTGGTCCCAAAAATCCAATGGGTGCCTTAGACCTGTGTCAGTGTCTTTTTGCAATAGGTTCTAATGGTGAAGAGATGGTAACTTATGCTAACTCCAGAGTTATGTGCCATGAAATCTCTTTGGGTAGAAAGTCAGTAGTCAAAGAGTCCCACCACTATTCAGACTCTCTAATCTTGGGAAGAAAGGGTCAATAGATTCACAAACATCTCCTGTGGAATAAGATGTCTTGTCTTTTGCTTATCTTGCCCTGGAATTTTACCTGGACACTAGGTCCTTTTACCTTATTTATATTAATGGTCCAACCATGTTGCCCCATATGATCAGGATGATATACAGCCCTAGTTGGATAACCTTGTTTGGGCCCACCAGAAGATTGTCATCAATTTGATGAAAAGCTAGTATTCCCTCTGCAAGTGAGACTTTGTTTCACAGTTGCTTACCTGATAGCAGTAGAAAAAGGAAAAACTACTAAAAATTTTTGTGAATGTTTTTTGCATTCCACTCTCTTGCCCAAGACTGAGGTTATAGATCAAATACTGTTGATTGATTATTTGGATTTGTGCTTATTTTTTTCCATCATTAGGTTCATTAAGTTTGCTTTCAGTTTTAGTCTTTGTTCTCATTTTTAAAATTTATTTTTGGAATACATAAAAGTGAACTTTCTTCCAAAAGTAGTAAATATGCAAAAAGAGATAAAGTATCATTCCTTCCCTTGCATTCCTCAGTCTTCACCCTCTTCTTATAGGTATCCAACTATATTGTTTTCTGGTTTGTCCTTTTATATTTTATTTTAAAAAACCTGTCCTTTTCCACCCCCTTCATTTCTATGTTACTTTCTTTCTTTTATAAAAAGTGGCATGTTAGGTATTCTCTATTTCATTTTTTAAAAAGTTACCCCTAGAATCCTTCCACATCATTTTGTAGAGATGTTTTCATTTCTTTATAGCAGTAGGTTTCTCACTGTTTTCATATCTACTACATATTGTTACTACATTATGTACCACAATTTATACTATACCATAGTTTATAATATATGCCTTAGTTTATCCAACCAGTTTTCTATATTTGTGTATTTAGGTGGTTTTAAATATTTTGCAATTACAAATAATACTGTAATAAGAAAACTTGTAATATGAATTTTCATTTTTTTGGTCTATGACTATGTAATTCCCCAAATAAAATGTAAGTAACCCCAAAAAGCTAGAGACTAATATAAAACATATTTTATACCTAGGAATATTTAAGAGACAATAAGACAGCTTCTACATACATCTATTAAAACTGATCTCACAAGTTCATGTGGATCTATCATTGTGACAGTTTCCTTAAAACTTTACAAAAATGAGAGAAAATCCTGCACAATTATTATTAATTTGTAATCTAGAGATTTCACAATAAATATGTTTTTCCATCTAATGGACTAAATGTATCTCCTAATGTAGCTCATGATAAAGTACCAGATGAAAAGCTCATGCATAAGAATCAGGATTCAATGTCAAAAACCCAACAGCAAGTAAAGAAACAAAGAACTCTCAGAGGGGAAGGACTCTCTGGTAAGTATAACAACCCTAGCTAACATTAAAATATTTTATTTATTTATTTATTAAAAGATTTTATTTATTTATTTGACAGACAGAGATCACAAGTAGGCAGAGTCAGGTAGAGGCGGGGGGAAACAGGCTCCCCGCTGAGCAGAGAGCCCAATGCGGGGCTTGATCCCAGGACCCTGGGATCATGACCTGAGCCGAAGGCAGAGGCTTTAACCCAATGAGCCACCCAGGCGCCCCTGAAATATTTTAAATTAACCTCACCTGATGGTCCTTTTTGTTTGGTTCATGAATATGTATTTGAGCACACGTTACAGAATTTTTACACTTTATACTTTATCCTAAAGTATTAATACCCTTAGATAATTAGTGAACAGAAACAAAAGTATTGATACATCTTAGATGGCGTTTTGGTACTAAGATTATTTTATGGCCATGGATCATATACTCAGCCATGACTCAGTAACAGGCCATCAACTGACTCTCAAAGGGTTTGTACTTACGAGGTCACTCCAGAAAATTATGGGTCCATAAATGCAGTGGTTGCCCTTGACTAGTGGCATTGTCTTTCAGCATAGCCTAAAACTGGTACACAGAGATGTGCTAAGACTTATAACTCAGATGGAAAATGTGTATAATAGTGATGAAAGGGAAGGGTAGCTAATAGATCTCTCAGAGGATCTCCAAGGCATCCATCTATCAAATGTAGAGATCTTTATGGTAACCCAATATTTGAGTGCCATCAAGATACCTCTGAAGAGTGTGAATCACCAGTAGACAAATAGTACCACTAATTGTTGAGACTCCTTGCATTTATTGGGCCAGAGAAAGCCAAAGGCTTGGAAATTGTCTACTCTCAAGTAAGACATTGTGGCCCTTCCCATATGATGCCCTGGAATTTCACTTAGGTTTCAGGTCCTTGTATCATGTCCAGATTAATGTGGTGTTCAATCCTTATTTGCTGGTGCCTTTTTCTGGCTCCATTTGGATGATGTCATTAATAGGAAGGTTAGTTGTCCCTTTCTCTGGTAATGGGACTTTTTTCCAGATTATGGTCCTGATGACCTTTATGTCAGAGAGGGAATTTAAGGACTCCTCTGGAAGATCAGTAATGGTGTATTGCAGCCCAGTCCACATAAGGGTAAACTGAAAGCAGTATTGAAAAGGGCATTTGTGATGTCAGTTGCTGCATACCAAATTCCCTCATCTTGGAAGATAGCCTCTGTGACAGTCATAATGTTGGGCACTACTGGCGTCAAGGCTGCACTGCAGCATTAAACTACCTATAATTAATTGAGATTCCAGAAACCCAAAACCTTGTATATAGGTCATTTGGGGGAATTTTGTCTTCCCGAAGCACAAAATGCTAGCAGGTATTTTTTTCCCCCTCAGGAAGTTATATTTGAGAGGCAAAAGCACTAGAGGCTGATAGATGAGTTGGTACACATATCCTTCTACATATCCCACTAAGTCTTAACTGAAAAAGTTCCTTTCAAGGAAAACAGAGGTTAACATAGACAATATATTTATACCAGTAGTGCACTCAGTAGTGGGCACCATGGCAGTAGAGGTCTGTCTGTGTTGGCCCATTGGTTCTACACATAGGTGAGTCTGGATAAGAGTCTGGTCTTGGCCTCATACTCTAAGCCAGAAAGGATTATTATTTTCCCCTCTTTCTGATATCATAGATTGTGTAGATCATAGATACTTTTGTGCCAGTATCCAAAATCCCAAATGTGATTCTTCTCCATATTCACTTGAACTCTGACTTTGGCATAGGGCCTTCTTTCTCAGATTAGGACATAGAGCCCTTGGCCTGATATATAGTTTTGTTTATGTTGGTTTATGTTTAAAAACTGAACATTAGGGCTTAAAGTTGGCAGGGTTTTTCATTCATCTCAAGATTTATTAGAACATGTATAGGAAATATAACCTAATATTAATCATAGGGCTATCACTGCAGACCCTAGGGAAAATCCTCTTGCACCCTCAGTGGCATATAACCTGTCTTGGGCTTCTTGGTAGAGAGCCCATCTATCTTCTCAATTGAGAAAATGTTGTTAAGTAGCTGTTTTATGGAACTTGGGACCAGGGAAAGAAGGGGTGGAAAGTCGAGGAGGAAGAAAATACTAAGTTAGGATGGATAAATACATCTTCAAGTTACCTAATAAGTTGGTTTTGACAGAGGTACTTGAATAATGTCTCAGCTAAGGCCATTCACCTCTCATAAAGAGCCTTCTGAATGCAGGTGCCTAGGGTGGGTATGCAGAATGTGTAAGAATATGGACAGCCCAGAGGGACGTGAATCCTTGACAACAACTCCTTCCGGAGATTGCCCTGGCTATCAGGTGTGGAGAAGGCAGCTTCCTCTTACGAGGCGTGTGTGTGTGTGTGTGTGTGTGCGTGCGCACGCATCTGTATATATACATATATATAAAAAATGTAAAATTTGTCTATCATCATCATATATCCCCACACACACATATAGTGAGGCACACACACACACACACACACACATATTTAGAAATAATAAGTTCTTGAGTGCCTGAGTGGCTCAGTGGTTAAACGACTGCCTTTGGCTCAGGTCAATTGCAGAATCCTGGGATCGAGAATCAGTCTCCCTGCTCAGCAGGGGAGTCTGCTTCTCTCCCCCACCCTGCTCATGGTCTCTCTTTCACTCATCTCTCTTTCAAATAAATAAAATCTTTTTTTAAAAAAGAAATAATAAGTTCTTTATAGACATGTTTCATTCCAGTCCATCTCCTTGGAGCCTGTTCTTGCCTTCCTCTGTTTTATATGCATGTGTCCTTTCTTTTGTAGTATAAAGTCTAATCTTGAGTAACATCAACACACTTATTTGCTTAATCCTGTAATACTTCTAAATTTGTTTCAAAATTACTTAGCACATAGTACTAGAAAAACTAATGTACTAAAAAGAGTTTGTTTGTATCCTATTCTTTTGGCTAAGACTGAAGATATATGTCAGCTACTACCAGTTTTCAAATGGTCCCAGGGTGCAAACCCATCTCTATTTAACTCTGACCATAGTATCACTGAGGAGCTAGATACCAACTAGAAGTTGGTAAAACTAGGCAGATTCTCTGATTTTTCTCAAAATCCACTGGGAGATATAGAGAGAAGGGCCCTTGTGTTAGTGTTAAGTGTCATCACCATCTGACTCTAATGGTACTATCCTGGGATTCCTATGGGCTTCCACTTGGCCAGGTGGTCATTAGTGGAGAGTCTATAATCGACATCTTGAGACCTACTATTGCGTAACTACACTCAGAAAAGCCCTTAACCAGATGACTCAGGAGTGGATAGCCAATTACCATTTTTAAGTCATTTTCTCTGCTTGTCAATATAGCAGTAGCCAATTTTTCATATCTAGAAATTTATCAGTTAAAATCCAGATTGTGTGATGAGCCAATTGATCTGACCTATGAATAGGTTTAAATGAACTTGATACTAGCAAGTGTGGCATGAAAGAACCTAGAAATCTGAGTGTGTTTAACAATCTCATTGTGCACTGTTCTCACTCATCCCCTCTCACTAGGGACCATCAGGTTGGATCATCTGCACTAGGAAGATGGCTAAAGGTTTGGTCCAAACAAGCTTTTGTTTGTTTTAAAGATAATTTTTGACTCTCTCTGCTTGACTTATTTCACTCAGCATAATCTCTTCCAGTCCCGCCCATGTTGCTACAAAAGTTGGGTATTCATCCTTTCTGATGGAGGCATAATACTCCATAGTGTACATACACCACATCTTCCTTATCCATTCGTCCATTGAAGGGCATCTTGGTTCTTTCCACAGTTTGGCTATTGTGGCCATTGCTGCTTTAAACATTGGGGTACAGATGGCCCTTCTTTTCACGACATCTGTATCTTTGGGCTAAATACCCAGTAGTGCAATGGCAGGGTAATAGGGAAGCTCTATTTTTAATTTCTTGAGGCATCTCCACACTGTTCTCCAAAGTGGCTGCACCAACTTGCATTCCCACCAACAGTGTAAGAGGGTTCCCCTTTCTCCACATCCCCTCCAACACATGTTGTTTCCTGTCTTGCTAATTTTGGCCATTCCAAGTGGTGTAAAGTGGTATCTCAATGTGGTTTTAATTTGAATCTCCCTGATGGCTAGTGATGATGAACATTTTTTCATGTGTCTGAGAGCCACTTGTATGTCTTCATTGGAGAAGTGCCTGTTCATATCTTCTGCCCATTTTTTGGTATGATTGTCTGTTTTGTGTATGTTGAGTTTGAGGAGTTCTTTATAGATCCTGGATATCAACCTTTTGTCTGTACTGTCATTTGCAAATATCTGCTCCCATTCCGTGGGTTGCCTCTTTGTTTTGTTGACTGTTTCCTTTGCTGTGCAAAAGCTTTTGATTTTGATGAAGTCCCAAAAGTTCATTTTCGCTTCTGTTTCCTTTGCCTTTGGAGACATATCTTGAAAGAAGTTGCTGTGGCTGATATCAAAGAGGTTACTGCCTACATTCTCCTCTAGGATTCTGATGGATTCTTGTCTCACTTTGAGGTCTTTTATCCATTTTGAGTTTATCTTTGTGTACGGTGTAAGAGAATGGTCGAGTTTCATTCTTCTACATATAGCTGTCCAGTTTTCCCAGCACCATTTATTGAAGAGACTGTCTTTTTTCCACTGTATATTTTTTCCTGTTTTGTCGAAGATTATTTGCCCATAGAGTTGAGGGTCCATATCTGGGCTCTCTACTCTGTTCCACTGGTCTATGTGTCTGTTTTTCTGCCAGTACCATGCTGTCTTGGTGATCACAGCTTTGTAGTAAACCTTGAAATCAGGTAATGTGATGCCCCTAGTTTGATTTTTGTTTTTCAACATTTCCTTAGTGATTCGGGGTCTCTTCTGGTTCCATACAAATTTTAGATTATTTGCTCCAGCTCTTTGAAGAATACCGGTAGAATTTTGATCGGAATGGCATTAAAAGTATAGATTGCTCTAGGCAGTATAGACATTTTAACAATGTTTATTCTTCCGATCCAAGAGCAT